ATGAACTGATTATGCTTCTTTTTGTTTTTGTGCCCTGACATGCATTTTAGGGGGTCTATTTATAGAAAAATACATTGGATGAATGGCATAAGTATTCGCCCAGCCGTGATGCATTCTGATCATATATATTATGCTTTACAGGTTGATTTCCTATGATCGTCAGCTCCATCTAGTGGTCATAATGTGGTATTTTTCCTGTAGTCTCCAAACTACAGCCCTTTGCTTGCCTTTATCTGACCCTTGGGGTAACATTTCTCCAAATGATATGAGGCACTACTCATCAGACTGACACCATCAATGCGGCACTATTTCTTCCACTGACACCAACAATGAAGAATTGTTTACTCCCATTGATGCCGAGTCGTGTTTTACTCACACTGGCCAGATTCTGGCTCCCTAAAGTCTTAAGGACAGTAAACCAGCCCTTTGTTTACAAATTTTGGAGACCCCTGGTTTAGTGAATCAGCCTGACTTTGCCAGGGTGTTAGATACTGGATTGCTAATGCAACAAAGAAAGCACTTTAACATGTTAATTAGCCGAATCCAGTAATTTGGCATATTCTTATGTTTAAACAATAACCTGTCACAGAAAACAACTGCCATTTCTGCCTTATTACTGCTATTGGCACACATTACTAGTCAACCTTTTGGAAACTGTAGGTATCCTGCAGCAAGGATAAACATTCACTTTTTGTTGTACAAATATTCTGCCAGTTGTGCAGTGTTCACAGTCCTTGATAAACCCAATTAAGCAAATTAAACCTTCTACTACAGGGGCTCCTCTCTGTGAGTTTAATTTACTGTGTGGGACCAGCCCTGCATTAACCCAGCTCTTTTTTCAGTAATAACACTCTCTTTCTGAATTCTCTCACACTTTACTTAATTAGAGCAGCAAACCCACAAGAAAGTTTATTTGTTAATGTCTCCTTAGACTGAGGATGCTGTTAAATAACAGGCATGAGACTAATATGGAGCTGCAATTGCTGAAAATAGTAGTGGTCTGGCTTTAATTCTAGCCCACCAGCCTAGAACAAGTATGCAGAAACAGGTGGCAAGCTGTAAGTCTGCACAATGTACATATAAATACCAAATACACTACTTTCTAGTGTTACTTACTCCTGCCCCAGCACTAAGTGCATGTCTTACTCCTGACACCTGCATCATGTGCATTCCTTACTCCTAATCCCTGTACTCTGTGTGTTACTTACTCCTAATCCCTACAACCTGTGCATTACTTACTCCTGATCTCCACACTTTGCACATTACTAACTTCTGACCCCTGCTCTCTGTACTTTACTTACTCCTGACTCCTGTACTCTGTGCATACGTGGTTCTTGAAATGTGTGTATTACTTATTCCTGATGTCTGCACTCTGTACATTACTTACTCTTGATCGGTGTGCATTACTTGCTCTTGACCTTTCTAATCTGTGCTTTACTAACTCCTGATCCCTGCACTCTGTGAGTTACTTACTCCTGACTCTTGCACTGTTTGCATTACTTACTCCTGACCCCCACAGTGTTTTCATTACTTACTCTTGATCCCAAAACTTTACTTCTGCACTCTGCGTGTCAGTTTATCCTGACCTTGGCACTATGTGCATTACTTACTGCTGACTCCTGCACTGTGTACGTTTTATACTCCTGACCTGTGTCCTCTGTGAATCACTTGCGCTTGACCTGTGCATCACTTACATCTGACTCCTTCACTGTGTTCATTACTTACTCCTTACTCCTGCACTCTGTTCATTACTTGACCTCTGCACTCATAATTGTATGTGTTACACACTCTTGACTCAGAGCAGAGTAGGTTCAGGTTTTATTTAACCATACCCCCTTAAGGCCCTCACACAGTTACAACAATTTGGCAGCACCCTCAGTTTGCTGTACCATGTAATGTATCATTTCTCTACCCCTGGTGCCAAAGACATTTTCACTGGAATTCATAAAGACTGACACAGACAGATTTTGCGAATACTTCTGAATGTGCCAAATTCATCTACCTGTCTAGAACTTTTACTTGAATTTGGCTTATGCTGTGCCACTTTTAGAATGCACTGGAGACACTTTCACAAAATTTGTCTGAGTCAGTTTTTCTCTCTGTGTGCCAAAAGAAAGTTGGTCCTAATTAGCTCTACTTTAAAATTCGTCCCATTCAATGCGGCACAATATAAAAATGGTGCATTCAATGTGACACAGTTTAAAAGAGGTGCATTTTAAAAACTACTTGAATTTGGTGCACGAGTAACTGTCAGAACCAAAGGTGTCGCAAATTCTTCATGAATTTGCAAGAAAGATTAACGCCAGAAAAGTGGCGAAGCGGTATTATTTAATACCCCTTTTTTCTTTATATGATGAATGTCTGCTTCCAATTCCAAAAGTATGGGACCAGTAGTTTCAAGGCGAGTTAAAGGAGAAGTACAGTATAGTTTGAAAATCTGGTCACCCTACCTTTAGAGTTAAGGACAGTGATAGGGCTAAGTCCGGGTTTGAGAATAGGTGACGCATGTGGTTACTTACAGCAAAATTACATTCCCTCATTTTCCTATGACAAAACGTCTGTACCTAAATATCCCAGAATTATACCTAACATAGCGCTGGGCTGAAGTATTATCACATATAAAATAAAAAGGTGAATCGCATCTTTGCTTGAGCTGACCTGTGTTTGAATTAGGTTTCTTATATATTTACTCACTCTACTGTACTTTTGATTTATTACAACCTATATCTGCAGTGCAAACAGTGATTTCTGAGAAATAGATTGGAGAGTAATGGCACAGCTGAAAGCTTCATTCCTTATAGTTGGCTTGGAAATGGATAGTGTGATTATCAAGACTTCCAGGGAAAAATGTCATGGACGTGGTCTATAATAGACTTTTCTGTGCTGATTTCTGTAAACAGTACTAGTTGATCTCTGGTGCTTCTTATTTTACAATTTCCACTGAAATCATCAAAATGCATTATTTTTTGGCATTTTGGGTTTTTTTTTCAAAGGGGACTGGTGATCAGTTTAAAAGTAAGGCTCTCAATAAATCTTTTTTCCTCTAGAGTTGGATCCAGCGTTGGAGTGTTAGAACTTGTGTGAGATTTTTAGTGATGTCTGTATCTCTAATTTCCTTTTGCTTTCTGGAGCACTTAGCCTCCTTTCACACTGGCAGCAGACTTTACTGCCCTACTAAAAAGTGATCCGCTGTTGCTGTTCAGAGACAGCTAAGTAGCATTTTGTAGGTGTTAATGAGGCGATATTGCAGTCTCCTGAATGCCTATTTTTCTATTCCTGGGGGCTGGCATTTGGCAAGCATTAACTTCAATGGGTACATTGGGAAGCATCACCTGCTAAGCACAACATGCCAAGTTAAATTTGCCAGACTGTAAGGCATCTGATTATGGCATTGTGTATGGACCTGTGTGGCTATCATGTTCATTTGTAGGTAGGAGGTTGGGGGTCAAATAAAACATGGAGCAACCACCTGTTTTTGCTCCTAATTTGGTGCCTATGTGAAGCTTTGCAGCTTTAGACTTACATGCCAAACAACACAGTTCCTTTTTTTGGAGCGTTATGGTAGTTGGCTGTGACCAAACTCCTGACCTCACTATTGATTAGTGTGGCCATTTATTAAAGTGATCTGCCAATAGTATGGCAAGCCCAGGTCTAGCAGAGGTGATGTGCAGGCTCATGAAATGCCACATTTGTCTTACTATTTTGTACCCACAGATCCGCTGTATATAAAGATTTTTTTATGTTTTTTCAGTTGTTCACATACTGAGTCATGTTTTAAATTTCTGGGCACACAGTTGAATAACCTATATATCAGACAGCAAACTTGCTGACCAGCTGAGAGTGTAGTATATTCAAGATCTTGTGTTTCCAGTGCTGAACGAACATACTCTTTTTCACTAAATATCTAATAAAGTGGAACAACACTGTATCTGAGCATCACAGACCAAAAATGCTATTAATTTATTGTTAATATTCCAAGCAAATTCCACCATCCATCCATGTCTCCATGCTTAATTTTGCTGAGGAATCGTTTTGAAAAACACAGCCTAGCATTTCTGGCTGCAGCCATCTTGAGTAAGGGCAATGATTCATGTAGCATTTACTTCCTGGAATCCATCTTCCCTTAGCTCAGTCATGCAGATAGGAGAGTGTGCTTAGTTAAAAAAAAACCTCCTCCCCTCCTGAAGACTCCTAGGAAGTATGACATTTGCCTAGGCATGGAAACCAGAAAGTAACTGAGGAAATGTAAAAAACAGTTTAAGCAAATAACTTTGATATACTTTCCTGTTTACTAATACTAGCAGCAAAATATTTAAAAATAGTCCATCTTGATTGAGAGAGTGAAGTTGCATTTAAGTTCATGTTCTTAATGAACAGTATTATTATTAATATACAAGATTTATATACCACCAACAGCCTGAGTAGCGCTGTACAATATAAAGGTAGACAGTACAATTACAATACAGTTCAGTACAGAAGGGATAGGAGGGCCCTGCTCATGGAGGTTACATCTAATGTTCTTTAAGACAGTTCTACTCACTTTATTGTGTATAGCAAAAAGGAACAAAAGTCACTCTTAAAAAATTGTAAATGTCTAATAGGACTGTTATTAGATTAATTATTTGGGGTTCCATGTTTTAAAAATATTTAACCCTTTTTATGTCTCCCTCTTGCACCCCTTTAATAAGCTCCTGTATATATCTATATTAGCAATTAACTAAATCCATTCATGGCACTTTTTTAAATGGCAGCAGTTAGCACTGCCCACAAGCTGCACTAAAGTATATAGAATTTAGGTTTTATACGAATCTAAAGATGAAATTATTTGTTTTACAGAATTTGTAACCCAAATCCTATCTAAAGTAGACTTTCATTTTACAGTAGCCATTTTTTTTTGTGATAATGCTACAAAAAGTTTGTGTCAATATGGACTGTATATGCTTTTACTAAGGTTATATAAATGGTTTAAGCATGTGAAAACTCTTCATTTGTTCCCACAGGTTGTACATTTTCAGGCAAGCAGGAAAAACAAGTGCCTGTATGTATATTTAAATTTTTTACAGTTAAATTATTTTTAATATTTTTATTGTATATTTTGCTATGATTCATTTGTTAATACTTGAGTTATTATACTTTTGTATAGAATAAGATTTGACTATCCTTGTGCTTAAGATAGATTCCTGTAAAGTAATCCTTTAGTCCCAAACTATCTATTAACCTAAGCCCTCTTCAGCTCAAAACATATCTAGTATGTAACATCTGGTCATAACTTTATGCTGAAATTGCTGTACAAATATTGACTTTCGGAAAGTTGATCTTTGTAAGCTTTAGGCATATACACTGCTCAAAAAAATTAAAGGAACACTTAACCAGAGTATAGCATCAAGTCAATTAAACTCCTGGGATATTGATCTGGTCAGTTACGTAGCAGAGAGGGTTGTTAATCAGTTTCAGCTGCTGGTGTTAATTAACAACAGGTGCGCTAGATGGGCAACAATGAGACGAACCCCAAAACAGGAATGGTTTTACAGGTGGAGGCCACTGACATTTTTTTTGCTACTCATCTTTTCTGACTGTCTTTCACTAGTTTTGCATTTAGCTAGGGACAGTGTCACTACTGGTAGCATGAGGCGATACCTGGACCCTACAGAGGTTGCACAGGAAGTCCAACTCCTCCAGGATTGCACATCAATATGTGCCATTGCCAGAAGGTCTGCTGTGTCTCTCAGCACAGTCCCAAGAGCATCGAGGAGACAGGCAGTTACCCTAGGAGAGCTGGACAGGGCCGTAGAAGGTCCTTAACCCATCAGCAAGACCGGTATCTGCTCCTTTGTGCAAAGAGGAACAGGATGAGCACTGCCAGAGCCCTACAAAATGACCTCCAGCAGGCAACTGGTGTGAATGTCTCTGACATGAGGGTGGCCTAAGGGCCCGACGTCCTCCATTGGGTCCTGTGCTCACTGCCCAGCACCATAGAGCTCGATTGGCATTTGCCATTGAACACCAGAATTGGCAGGTCCGCCACTGGCGCCATGTGCTTTTCACATATGAGAGCAGGTTCACCCTAAGCACATGTGACTGACATGAATGGGTCTGGAGAAGCTGTGGAGAACGTTATGCTGCCTGTAATATCATTCAGTATGACCGTTTTGGTGGTGAGTCAGCGATGTTCTGGGGAGGCATATCCATGGAGGGATGTACAGACCTCTACATGCTAGACAATGGCACCCTGACTGCCATTAGGTATAGGGATGAAATCCTTGGACCCATTGTCAGACCCTACGCTTGTGCAGTGGGTCCTGGGTTCCTCCTGGTGCATGACAATGCCTGGCCTCATGTGGTGAGAGGATGCAGGAGAGGATGAAGGAATTGATACCATTGAATGGCCCCCCCACTCGCCTGACCTAAATCCAATAGAACCCCTCTGGGTTATCATGTTTCGGTCCATCCGGTTCTGCCAAGTTGCACCTCAGACTGTCAAGGAGCTCAGTGATGCCCTGGTCCAGATCTGGGAGGAAATACCCCAGGACACGATCTGTCCTCTCATTAGGAGCATGCCCCGATGTGGTCAGGCAGGCATACAAGCACACGGGGGCCATACAAACTACTGAGTACCATTTTGAGTTGCTGAAACAAAATTTCATCAAAATGGACTAGTCTGCTGCATCATTTTTGCACTTTGATTTTCAGGGGGGGTTTTTTAATTCAGTCCTCTGTAGTTTGATCATTTTCATGTTCCTCAAACGATGGGGCATCCTTACGTTCCTAACACATTACCCAGTCTATATCGGTATAGATATCCAGGATGATATTTTTCTCCATTGAGATCTGATGTGTTTTTCAAAGTGTTCCTTTAATTTTGAACAGTGTATATTGCTCCCTATGTGGGCAGTTTTTGGGCTGGGGACAGGTTGCCCAGAAACCAAACTTATCATGTATAGGGTGGAAAAAGGGACAACATGCTCACTTGCCTAATAACAGTTTTTTTTTCCAAATTGTTCATTGGCATTGTCAGGTGGGGGATGCTGACTCAAAAGATAAAATCTGACAACTTATGGTGCCTAATACTTTGTGGGCCCAGATCAACAGATTTTATCAGACCTCTGATCCATTAGAGTGGTGAATCCAATTTGGATCTCAATTATATTTAGGAGGAATAGGGCCTGGGTTACTATTCAAACCTATAGTAATACAATAGCTGTTTGAAGCTAGTCAAATAGAGGTCAAAAGGAAATCAGTTGATTCTGAAAAAAGTGCTGAGATGTCTCAAATAATATACAACACCAATACCTGTAACACACATTTTGAGGTCAAAACTCTTATCTATTAAAAAATATTCTTACACTGAGTGAGCCAGTGTCATTCGATCCTATGCCCAATAATGTGAAAAATACCTTTAAGAAATATGGATCATCAAGACAATATATTTAAGTAGTGTGCATAACATATTGTACTTAAAAGCTGTTATCATTGAATCAAAACAAAGCTGATGTGCAAAGTAAACTATGTACACTGTCCATTAATAATCCCAAGGTGCAAGATAGTTTAAAAAGTCCATAAAGTGATCTTCTTCAACACAAAATTGTCCCATATCACCACAAAGTGTCCCCTTCTTCACCTTGTGCCAATCAAATTGCTCCCCTTAAATTTAGACCTCTTAAATTATGCGATGATAATAGTGCTTGATATATGCATATGATTTGGCGATCATGAAATTAAGCGTAGCACTCCAACCTGTATACTTTCTAAAGAGACCTGAGAAAGGGAAAACACTATACAAAGGTTATTATTAGGTACACTTCTCTAGTACACAGACCATACCGGCTGTCTCAAAGAATAGATGTGTAAGATAGGAGTTATAGGAGCACTGAACCCATTTGGTAGATAAAAAGACAGGTTGTCCGATTTTTAATGGAAGTACCTCAAGAATTCCTAGAAACCTATTGGAAGAGTGAGAACTCCACACTGATAAATTTCGTTCTGTTTGAGTTTATTCATTAAATCTGATGCAAAGATCAAAAGCCAATGTTTTTGGGTAGCTCACAATCCCATTTTTTTTCAGGGTTGTATATTAAAACAACACAAGGAAATTATATGTAAAAATTACAGGTATAACTTAGTGTCTAGAAAGATGATCCATCCCTCTAGATACAGATTTTATACATTTGAGTCTTACACGTGTTAGCCTGTGTTCTTTTGTTCTCCAGCCCTAATGAAGGGGGATTGTGAACCGAAAGGAGTGTGGGGTTGCTTGTGGGCATTACATACCTGGAGGGTAAATAGGTATAGTTCAACTATAACTAGCCAGTGGGTACTATTAGAGTGAGTAGATATACAGTATCTCACAGAAATGAGTACACCCTTCACATTTTTCTAAATATTTTATTCTATCTTTTCATGTGACAACACTGAAGAAATGACACTTTGCTACAATGTAAAGTAGTGAGTGTACAGCTTGTATAACAGTGTAAATTTGCTGCCCCCAAAAAAACACAACAAACAGCCATTAATGTCTAAACCGCTGGCATCAAAAGTGAGTACAACCCCCCCCCCCCCCCACAAAAATGCTGGACCTCACCCCCACACAAATTTATATTGCTGTCTGAGTCCCCACTTCCAAAATTTCAAGTTCGGATTAGAACAGGAATTGAAGGGCAGTCATTCAATGGGACAACTGATTTGGTAACAGCTGCCATTTTTTTAGACATTTACTTTCACATTAAAATTAAGTCTCCCTAATGGAACAAACATGGCAAACATTTACAGCGGTTTCAAGCATTCTTTACTCTATACATAATTAAACTGAATAAAGTTTGAGCTTTAGATCTACTTTAATGTAACTTTGTACATAAGGAATGTATTTAGGAATATAACAAATGCTATGTTTAATTTTTCAGGAACCGAGGTAGTTTTAATCTGGTAAATAACATGCATGATGTCAAGCCTCAGTCTGCACAGAAAGGTCGCAGTTATATGAACCGCGTGGGCATCCAACCAATGAAATTATTACACGAGTCCTCAGAAGGTTGCCGAGAAGTATGGAAGCCACAAAAGAAAGTGGACTCTTCAGGCACTGCCAGGAAAGTTCACAACAAGTCAAAAATCGGGAAAAAGATATGCATGTGTAATAATGTTCATAAACAGTACTAAAGTACCACTTTGTTTACATTTTGTACAGAAACAGATGTCCTTTCACAATTCATGGGGGTATCTTTTTCCTGAAAGAGTTGTAAATATATCCGGGGAACTGCAATACATATCTTTGTTACCATTGTCCTTTAACTGATGAGTCACCTCAAAAACTGGTTCCTGAGTTTTGGCTGGATGCTAGGAAATTGAAACACTCATTGATGTATCCCTGAGATCTGTATGGTGAGTTATCTTCTCCTGAGTTCCTAGGTTTACCTACCTGTGACAACCCAAAGGCTGTCATAGACTGCTTGAATTTCAGCTGATTTTTGCTGAATTGATCGTAATTCAAGCCTTGGGTAGCCCTGTTTGCACCAACTGGCTTGAAAAAAGTTGATTTTTCAGATGACTTTTGTCAAAAAAGTTGGGTGGAATATTGTGAGCTGAACAATGACTGCAACCAATAAGATGCAGTTACTGTTGAGTTGTTCAGAAAGTCATGGAAGCTGGCTGTTAGAATACCATAGCCAGCAGGGAAGATTCCTCCATCCACGCTGTTTAATGTGGATGGAAAAAATCTATTAGATTTCTTTCATTTCACTAGTGGGTTGAACAAGAGAAATCTTTAGCTGGTTAGCTGTAAACTTTCTACTTACTCTGGAGTTATAATTTATTTTACTTGATACAGTCCTTGATAAAGGAGATAGAGTTGGGAACTGGGTATATCTCTCCTTTGGACTTCTCAAGACATATATTAGATGATTATTCTATTCATAAGCATTAACCTGTAACTGGAATGTCAGTTTAGGTAGAACTCACTTTTAAAACTGGAGAAAGAATACTGCTACTGTATGTTTGTACATTTTCTTATTGCTTACACTCTATGATTTGCACATAAATAGTCAGTACTGTACAGTGCTGTAAAAGATAAAATGCTATTTTAGATATTTATATATAAACATATATAATGAAAGACTGAGGATTTAAACTTTAATGAAAATTGTTTATTCTTTAGTAAGCTATCACACTGTCTGGCCTATATAAAAGAGCAAAGAGCAATGGTGTACTTTTGGCTGAAGCGGCCTATAACATTTCAGCTTAAAAATTAATACAGCTGTAATAAAAATGAAATATACAATCTGATTGGTTGCTGCAGGTAGCTAGGCTTTGCAATTTGCTTTAAATAAGGCCTCCAGTTATAATTGTTATTATTTACAGGGTGACAGTGATTGCTGACATTACACTGTAGGTCAAAGGTCAGCTATGGCTTGGATAGCTGTTGCTGACCTTTTGTATAGCACTTATACTCACACTGTATAACAGACCATTGTACAGTGAGTAATTATGTGAATCTGCACTTTTAGAAGCTGCCTTTTACTAGTAAAAGTAGGTGTTCGCAAACCTGTTTTAGAAATAATTGGTATTGAATGCTGTGTTATACAGGGCCCCAAGCTATTTTATAAGGGAGTAAATTGGCCTACTGCATATTCACCAATATGGAATAATTTTGGCCAGGGATTTACTTTGCATGACCCTTTGTGACATCAGTGTCTGTGAACTTAATGTGAACCTGTGGCCAGGTTATAGATGTTCAAGTATTTACATATTTGTACCAAACAAAATTCAAAATTAGTAGGTGCAGACACTGTGGAGCAATTCACCTTCAAAGTTCACAGCAAAAGAATTAAAGTTGTTCAGGTCATTCTTGCAGGCTGCTCAGTTCACTCTGCTCCCTCTTCTCAAAGCTCCTGCTTTGTGTTTACATTAAAGATTAGAAGGCTAAAAGGCTGCTGAGTCACAGCTGGGAAGCAGGGTGATCCAAGCTGGCTTAGAGACTTGAAGAGTTTCAGTGATTCTGTTGTGAATTTTGAAAACGGATTGCTCCACAGTGCGTCACGCTACAAAGGTCAGTGCAGACCTGTTTTTTATTTCCATAAGCTGGTTGCAGGTTCACTTTAAACTTCCATGATTCATTTGCTTGCTCTAGAACCATATGGCTAATTTGTCAAGTGTTGCCAGTCTTGCATGTGCCCATATACAGTCTTGTATGTGCTCAAGTAAATATCAGTTTTGTGTGGACTGTGGTAGGTTGAATCAACCGCTGGCTTTTTAGGCTGCTAGTAGACAAGCAGACCAAGAGTGTGTAAATCGATTAAAGATGTGCCCATAATTCTCTAGATCCCATACCACCAAGACCTGCTACATTTTTTTTCTCCTACTTATTAAAATGCAAGAATAGACGTTAAACCATAAAGTGAAATAACAAAAATGATTATATTTTAAAATGTTACATACTCTCATGTATCTTGAATAATTTTCAGATGTGTATAAATGTGAGTCTTTTGACATGGATTTTCAAATATTTATGAAATCCATTTGTCATTTGTGGTGGGATTCCAGTCTTACAGGTGGTACACTTTACCCAGGGTATTTACATTGGCTGCAGATTCAGTTGTAAAATTATAATAGAATAAGCTAAATTTTTATTCAGCCCAAAGATTTGATTGGTGTAGTGTAGGTTAGGTCACATGTATGCCATATATATATATATATATATATATATATGTATGTGTGTGTGTGTGTGTGTGTGTGTGTGTATATATATATATATATATATATATATATATGTGTGTGTGTGTGTGTATATATATATATATATATATATAGAGAGAGAGAGAGAGAGAGAGAATAACATTTGAATCATATGTGTAGGAGTGAATCGTGTTTTATGTTTTGTAACCACCCAGTGCAATATTAAGCTTCACTCTTTGCTGAGAAAACCATTCCAGTTGATGCCAATCCCCGCATCTGGGTTATAAAGTGCGCTATTGACCTGCCAAAACTAAAATGTTTGGGTATTGATTGGTAGATTTAAAGGAATTTGCAGGACCAAAAGGGGTCTTACTAATAGACTTACTTTCTTTCACTCTTACCCCCACTTTATGAATGGGGACCATGGATACAGGTACATATCAAGGACCAAAAGAGGGAGGAGGTTCCAAAGTGTATCAAAAGAAGGTTGAACTTTATATCACTATGACCTTAATCTTGAAAAACAGGGAAAAAAAAAATGAACATACTACCTGAAAAATTGAAAATCAAATTGTAATATCCTGTATTCCTATATTGTGAAAGGCTGTGAAGAGCATACTTGAAATAAAGTGCTTTGAAGAAGAATATAATATTTTTTTCTGTAAATAAATTTCAGCATATATAGCTGATTAGTATGAGGAATGGGCATTTGCAATTAAATGAACATATATGCCAATTGCAGAAAATTTACTTTTGAGTGCTTAGAAATTAAAAGTTTTCATAAAGTTTGTCCAACGCTTACCAAATATGAACCCTTGTTTTTTACCCTTCTTTGTAGTTACAAGGAGTGGAGCCCAACATAGTGGATTCATTGTTGTTTAAATTTCCCTGGGGACCAATCCCAGGCTTTTAAATAGATAGAATTCCATTTTTTGAGCACAATTATGCCTAAGTGTTTTCAAATTTAAATACCAGATGTCACTGGTGAATGTAGAAGGCAAAGAAGGAACACTTCATTTTAAGCTGAAATTCTGTGAAAATTAATTTGAGAAAAGACTTTTGTCATTTATTTTTTACAATAGTATTTTTATTTCCCAGTTTGGGTTCATACAGTTTTATTTGTATTTGAACCTTTTTTTTTTTCTTCACCATATGTGAATGCATAAGCAACAAGAATTGGCACAAAGCAGCTCAGATTAGCTCCTTTTGCAAATAAAAAAGCAAACAAGAAGCAAGTCAAAGCAACTCAAAAGCATTTGAAAGCATATTGATTCTGACTTTTGTGTGTTATTTTACAGAAAGTCTGCAATAGAATATGTATACGGTAGTTGTTTCTAGAGTTTGTTTCCATGGCTACATTTATTAGAATAATTCCATTTATGTATATATACTGTATGAGCGTACATATGTGTGCTGCTTGTCAGTGTCCAGTGACACTTGTTTCTGAAGATTAGTATACTACATTACCCCTCTATAACCCCCATCACCTCTTATCTCTCGATAGAAGTGGCATATTTTGATCGAATACGTATAAGGACTAGCCATTTTGAAAATGCTAGTAAGTATAATTTGCACTTTCACAGTTTATCATTTTATATAAGTTCATTACAACAATAAAATGTGTTTTCTATTTTCTGCCTGTCAGAACTCCTATACAGCAAATATATTTCACAAAGGTAAAAGTTGAATTAGTGATAGCAGGCAAACAGTCCCATGTGTTTACTTGATGAACATCTAAAGCAGAGGAACCCCTAAAATAACTTTCAGGTCTAGGAAAAGCCTTACTAAAACCAACTCATTGGGAGTCAGTAGGAAAAATGCCCCCTATATTGGTGGTTAGTAGGAAGAATGCAGCCCTTGAAGACAGCTAAAAAGGCCACTAGTGTCATTCTTCTGGCTTTGCCAAATGACATTGGCCCTGAAACTATGCAGGCACCATAAAACAGGAGGTCAATCAGCCAAATCTCAAAGAACACCTAGCAATAACCCAAGGGTTCTACAGAAAACTGGTTGAGAATGACTGACTGTTCTAGGGACTTTCCATAGGTAATGCTGTGTGGGTTTGTTTGGCTCTATTTTTCTTTTTACACTAACCTGTATGGGAGTTCAGTGATCAGAGTAGCCCACCTATTATCTAATTAGTCATGTTGATTGTGTTATAATATTGCGATGAAGTTTAGAATTTTACTGGTTGTTCATAAAACAAGTGGGAGATTTTTTTTTATTTACATAATATTTGCAATTTAAAAGTGACGGAACTTTAAAGTAGATGCCCAGTCAAATGCTATCTAAGCTTAAACCTGCTCCCACCCTTATTGTATGCCCTATAATAACTACCCTTTAAAGGAAAGATATCTATACTTACCTGTTCCCTGGGTGCTCCGGTCCAGTCACTTAATTGGCTCCCAATGATGGCTTCAGTGTAGAGGAGAGACAGCCGATAACAGATGCCCCATAGTAAGCCTATGAGGGATTTCACTGCATAGGCA